CCCCCCCAGAGCTGTCAGAGCCCCCAGACGAGCAGTTCCCACCACCACACCCCATCCAGAGCACATTATGGGGTGTGGCCTCCTTCATTCTGTTTCTTCTTTCACCAGGCCCTTGTCCAGTTTCTGAATTCCAGAAAGTTGTGTCATTCACAAGTTTGTTTCCATTCTCTTTGTTATTTATTTATTCCTTGGTTTTTCTAATAGTTTCAACATGGTCTCTAAGAAGAGATCAAGCAAATATCTTTGCTTGGTCTGCAAATCCTGAGCTGAGATTGATTGACTCTTAGAGGAGTTTCTGAAACATCTATTTTAGATAGATAACTCATCAAGGATCCTTATTACCAAGAGAGGCAGAGTAGCACAGTGCTTAATCCTGAGCCAGACATTCTGGGTTTCAGGTTAATTCTGCTGTTTCCCATTTGAGACTTTGGGTATGTTGCACCTTGTATCTCAGTTTTCTCATCTATAAAATAAGAATACTGCCTCATGGAATTGTTTGAAGAGTAAATGAATTAATATTTTAAATGTACTTAGGACAGTGCTTGGCACACAGTATGAGCGATGTAAATATTTGAAATGACTGAATTCGAATTTCATAAATGAAATACATCTAAAAATGCAACCTCTTCGATATGAAAATGCAGCCTCTCACTCCTATCTGGCACAGCATTCCCTGAATATGAGAAGGTTAATTTTTTTTTTTTTTTTTTATGATTAGGAGTCAATCAGGGAGAGCTGCTTTAGCAGTTAAGTAGTAGAAGTTAATAAAAACAGTTTGTCATGCCAGGCTTGGTGGCTCAGCCTGTAATCCCAGTGCTTTGGGAGGCCAAGGTGTGTGAATTGTCGAGCCCAGGGGTTCGAGACCTGCCCGGGGAACTTGGCAAGACCTCATATCTACAATAAATTTTTAAAAATTAGCTGGGCATGGTAGCACACGCCTGTAGTTCCGGCAACTTGGAAGGCTGAGGTGGAAGGATCGCCAGAGCCCAGCAGTTCGAGGCTGCAATGGCCAGGAGCGTGCTACTGCCCTCCAGCCTGGGCGACAGAGTGAGACTCCAACTCAAAAAAAACCCCAAAAAAACAGTTTGTCATTATGTTTGAATGACTATATGTATCCCTGACAAGACACTAAGGCACCTCAGTAGCAACTGAAATGAATTCACTGTACGTCCAACTAATAAAAGCAAGAG